CTTCATACATTGTACCTTGTGTATACATGCTAAACGAATGTTAACAAGTCTGTATCAGTCCTGACGAGCCCTTCCCTTGAACCTTTATCACAGTCATTTGGAAGACACACTCGGAACTCATCGAGACTCAACGTGTGATCAAAATGTCTGAACTCGTACAGAACATGTACAACTCGCCCCGATTGCAATACCTTTCTACAAAGATGACCGAAATGAATCGGCCGAGGTGTTCCGAGTGTGGATGGACTCGCGGTACAATATATGTACTCTACATGTACAGATAACAGATAAAGATCTAGTTACCCGTCATTGTGTTACTTGTAACAAGCATTCTCTGTTTGGGAACATGGGTCAGTTCTTCCTAGGGCACATATTTAATGCTAATTTTTGCATTTTCCAATTCTCTCTTTGGCACATGTGTTTCAAGTTAGAACATTCCGAATATTTCCTCGGGACATGGGTAGAACATGTTATCTTCCGATTATCTCTGGTACACGTGTAATGTTTCATCCTATTCTCTCTTGGCTGCACGTGTTATGTTACAAGTTACATTATTAATAAAATTTATTTCCATTTCGATTCTCCAGATTTTGGAACTAATTATAAAAATAAAAGTAGACAAGAACTTTGTTCTTCTTAATATCAAATATTACATAAATGCCCAGTAAATATTCATATTTATAAAAACGGGGAAAATAAAATATAAAATACAATTAGAAAATGACATGGCTTTTTTCTTATCAAACTCTGTATCAGCCTTCGGTGAATACCAGGTGTAAACTGACACAGGGTATGGTATGAAAACGTCATATATGGTACGATGTATTGTCTACATTTACAAATGGTCTGACATTAGTAAACGGTATCGAGGCCTGAGTCCTTTATCTGTCGACATCGTATCATGAGTATCACTGACTGGGTACACTAACAGCTGATAACACCAGCTGTCCTATTGTTTCTATTGTCTATTTATTAAATAGATATTAATATTTAATCAACATATGTGCATGTATTAGGCAGCACTTATAACGATGGACATAAATATTTAACGAAGGCCGCTTCGGCACAGGTTATTCGTCATTTTTTTATTTATTTTTTTAATTCTTAGTTATATATCCCACCATAATACACATGTATTCATGTATATTTTTACAAACAAAAAGGCTCGAGTATTCGTAAGCTCGCCAACAAAACTTAAAATCTATGAGGAGATTATGTATACCACGCAATCAGGGCAGTTTCTTGGTGATGCCCATCTGAACTCTATATTCATTGTTACAGTTTAATACTTGTTATTTATAAGTTTATATACATGTACGTTTACATTGTTGTTAGTGACCGATCAGATGCGGGGCGTCTCCGTCTCAGCATCGTGTTTTTCACCGGTGTTTCACGGTCAAAATTATTTTCAATGCCAACACAGAATACTTGGCGCACTATTTAAGTTACACATTGTAAATATACGCCGACAGTATTTTATATTCCCTAGTATTTTATAGCATATGTGATATGAATAACTTGAATGGGATGTTCACACGAAGCGCCTTATAAGTCCCGGCCTTCTCTATTTTGCAGTAAGTTAGCTTAGCTCTAGATCTGAACAGTTGAAAAGAGTCCTTTCTCTTCCTGTACATATAGCTATATATGATACGGGATATATATATATTTATATTGAACAGATTTCGGCATAGCCTTTTGTCGGTTTGGGAATCATCGCGTTCTTTGACATACACAGTACAGACTGAATGGTTGGCTGGTCTTGGATTTGATCGTATTAATAAAGCTTCTACAAAATACCAATTTGTGGTATTTGGTTTTGATACAAACGCAAGATGGGAGAATGACTTCATCTTAAAATGGCGGCGGGCCAAACTGTTTACACCCCGTGTTTTACGTCAAAGCGGCATATCTAATATTGAATCTGTATCTTAAGATAAACATTTTATATCTCGCTATCACAAGAATGACAACAGTTTCACATGTTTACAGTACACAAAGGTATAGTACGACGCTAACTTGAGTTACTTCCCTTTCAATGAGCATCATGCAGTACATAAACAAGCGGTCGTTTATCTTTCATAAAGATTTTTCTTGATTTCATGTAAATTTCCACTATTGGATCAAGACTGGTCAACCAATGGCGAATCAGAGATCAGTATCATAAACAATTGGTGGGGATGTCAGGTAACAACGCACTGTCAAGTAAAAATACTAGCTCTGCAACGCATGTTTTGTCTGTTTGGCTTACATTGATTCCATCACTGTGAAATATACAGCGGATATCTAACAGTGTCTTCAGTAGTACCAAATATATTTCACGAGTCTGGGTAATATTTGATATCTTTCACGAGTGCGCAGCACGAGTGAAAGATATCAAAATACAATGTATTAGCCACACGAGTGAAATATATCTGTTATTACTGAAAATACTGTTAGATATTCTGTTTATTACATTTTTTACGAAAACCTACCCCGGAACGCAAAACGACACATCAAGCTAACAATACTTGATCTGGATACTTTTATCACTAGCATGTCTAGATAATCCTACACAACAAAATATAGTCTAGTCCTCTGCAAATTAATGAATGAAATGTAAAAACTCATGAATAAATTCCTTTAGTTACTTTATTTTATTAAGTAGGCACTTACAAATGTAAGTTCATATTTTTAATAAAGTTTGCCATATTACCATCATAATTCAATTATGTAGAAAAGGTTCCGTTAGATCAACTCAGATCACTACGCATTGTTGATACAGATAGAGAGAATAATTGCCCCACGATAGGTAACAGATGGTTATTCTGGGCAACAGAATGGGTTGATGTCTCGGACGGATGTTTTCGAGGCCTGTGTATCGTTAAGCTAACCAAGCTTTTACCAGATGGACCATTTGCAATTTTTCCAATGGCAGTTTGTAATCAGTATTTTGATTGGTCAAATCAGCCTTGTGAAAAATATCGCTTTAATAGAATGAATAACTTTCAATATTTCATTGGAAAAAATGTAATAAAACATCGTAATTGCCCCCCTCCTTTCGTTCTCGAATTCCCTGGTCTTATTTCCCTTCATCCTCGATACTCCAGGGGTTACTCTCACTTACGCTCTCTCTAACCCCGGAATATGTCATAGTAAATTCGAAGACTCAGTGTGCGCCACCTTGTTGGTGAGACATATGATGTACATCAAAAGGATGACACTTACACAAACTGGTGTGACATCAGACGAGTGCCTGAGTTATGACACATTTACAAGGTCGTTTGACATCAGACGAGTGCCTAAGTTATGACACTGTAACAAGCTGATGTGACATCAGCCGTGTGCCTTAGTTATGACACTTTAATAAGCTGGTGTGTCATCCGACGAGTGCCTGAGTGTCGACACTTAACAACCTGGTGTGACATCAGCCGTGTGCCTTAGTTATGACACTTTAACAGACTGGTGTGACATCAGACGAGTCCCTGAGTGATGACACTTTCACAAGCTGGTGTGACATCAGCCGTGTGCCTGAGTAACAGGTATGGCACTTGAACAAGCGAGTGTGGCATCAGCCGTGTGCCTTAGTTATGACACTTTAATAAGCTGGTGTGACATCCGACGAGTGCCTGAGTGTCGACACTTAAAAACCTGGTGTGACATTAGCCGTGTGCCTTAGTTATGACACTTTAACAAGCTGGTGTGACATCAGCCGTGTGCCTGAGTTATGACACTTAACAAGCTGGTGTAACAGCAGACGAGTGCCCGAGTTATGACACATTTACAAGTCCGTTTGACATCAGACGAGTGCCTAAGTTATGATACTGTAACAAGCTGATGTGACATCAGACGAGTGCCTGAGTTATGACACTTTAACAAGCTGGTGTGACATCAGACGAGTGCCTGAGTTATGACACTTTAACAAGCTGGTATGACATCACCAGTGTGCCTGAGATATCAGCCGTAGTCCTGGGTGATGACACAAGCTTCCTTATGTGACATCAACCGTTAGCCTGAGTGAGGTCACTAACTACTTGCCAATAGTTTCAATACCACATTAATACGTCGCTAGGCTTTATTAAGTTATCACTGGTCTGTATTCTTATCAGACCTGACCACAAAATATTACCTTCTTGATATCTTCCTGAACTAAAATTTAATAACGACGACAGCCGTATGTATGTATATTTCTTGCTGTCAGAAATTGTACATTTTATTGTCATGATACTGATGTTCCAGGCTGTCGCACGTGTAAATCAGGGTAAACTGATCGTTTGGAATGTGGTGACCTGTCTCGTCCGGTAAAAACATCATTATTTAAAACTAGAAAAACTAAACAAGTATAGGTGCATATCAATGTAGAACATGGCTATAACATCACTTTAATGTTCTGGGCAAGAAAAGTCAAACGACCATCACACGGAGTAACACATGCAGTTAAATATGCAAGTCTAATAAACGACGCGCTTTTTATAGTTTCAGGTATTTTCTGTTCTTAAAGGTATCTAGTCCTGCAGTAGAATTAAATTCTTAATACAAAAACACGAAAAAGATCTATGCACAAAAACTAAATAACCTTTAGTCATCAAAGTGTGTGATGGAAACAAAGCGAATTCCTTTTCAGTTCCCCCCCCCCCCCCCCCCCCCCCCCAAAAAAAAAAATAAAAAATGCGATAGTTATGACTTTAGAACACATGCCTTTATCACAATTATTGTTACGCTGAAGTACAACATACGTCCACATATATGTTACGCGCATGCGTGAATGTGTACAGCTCGTCAGATAAAGGTCTTAGGGATTGCTTATATATCGATTTTTCCTAATTAAAAGTCAAAACAAGCAACACGTGTGGATTTATGACCAGAATTTACGGTGTTACATATATTCGTCTCGGCTGATGTCACTTTCTCGGGTTCATATAACTACACATTCACCCCAACAATAGTCCATATAGTTGATAAACACTTCGACGCGGATTCGTTTTGTTGATACGCTTCCATCGAACGCCTTCTACATGTAAACAAAACTGATAAGGTTTATATAAGTCGATGGTATTTCTAAATACAGAAAGTTGTAGTGCAGAACTTGACCATTTGCATTCAACTTTAATTCCATCGTTGAGATAGAGCTGTGACTAAGGAGACGTTTTGCACCTGTTCCTCATGTACAATGTACGTCGGGAATAAAGGGGCCATACTGTTCTGGTGAGGTTCGTGTCGCTTTAATTTCCGTCACCCATGTTATACTAAGATCTCGTGACATATCGCGGAGTACATACCGGTGTTGTTCGTTGTGTCCAGATATCAACGAGAACATTTACACTCTAGTGCTGGTCAGTTCGACAAGAGCTCAAGATGACCGACGGACGAATAGTACTTATCGCCATGGACGGGAGCGGACACGCTGACCACGCCTTTACGTGTAAGTATTGCTCCTCTTAATAACTTTTACATAAAACACGGCTATGGTCATGATTTCAAATATCTTTAAATTTTAGTATATCGACGACGTTCTGGCTGAGGACTGTTATCAACTTGAAGCCGGATATAGGTCAATGATAAGTGATAAAGGGGTTGGTCTGTGGGCATTGCTATCTTCACCGAGGTTCGATTCCTTGATCGGACGTGAAGAGGTTGGGGTCACCTGCCCGACCACCTGTGGTTTTTTCCGGGTACTCCGATTTCCTCCCACACTAAGACCCCCCACGCGCTAACATTCGGGCCAACAAGAATGATTAATATAAGTTGAAATAACTTGTTTCATAATTGTTGTAAAATAAATAAAGTTTATGATTAACGGTACGAAATATGAAGGAAAAAACAACAAGCCATTCGCTATTCAGGACACCAGAAAAGTACAGAACATTCTAAATGTTAAACATATGCGGAAAGATATACATTATCATGTATGATATACACAAGTAAAGTATCTGACACGCACAAGGTCACAGGGACCTGAGAATTGCCACTTTTTTTAATAGTAATGAGGTTGACGTCATCGCCAACCAACACTGCATGTTTCAGAAGGTTTAGCGAAAAAATGACTGCACTTACAGCCAATCACACCAAGGGTCTCGGCACGTGGCTGACGTCAATGGCAGGCTGACTGCGAAAAACTTTGAAACTCTGAACTGGCGTGTGTTTTTGAAGGAAACGGAGTCCTTGTACGCAGAAGGAGAATGTACATTTTACGTGCAAATAGGAGATTTTTAAAGGAAAAATTATCCATCTTTCCAACGGTACTAAGCATGTTCCCGTAGATCAGCTAGTAATGTTGGGGTGGGGTCGACATTTAGACATCGATAACTTTCCTCCTTTCTCCTAGATATGATCATTGGGGGTGTCATTTTTACCGAAAGTCGATCTAAACCCCCAAAACATGTACAATTACTCTGCACACTTTAGTTTAGGTCAAAATTTAGCTGTTACAAATTATCAGGTCCCTGTGCACAAGGTACAGTAGTATACCGTACAACAGGTGTTACGTGAGAAGAATATATAGTGTGTGTTCATGTGCCATGAATACACTAGTCTCTATCTGAAATGTCCTTCATGCCATTCACCCCTTCATGCCTTGAGAAAAGAACATACCTGATGTTACCGACTACATGTTATAAAAGGCGACCTTAATGTGGGACCCCATCCATCCCTTCAAAATTGGGGATTTACTTTTTAGTCCTCTACTTGCGGTCACGAGACATTATTTTATTTTTTTTAAATGTATTTTGATACCGACGGTATTAGATACTTGAAAATGGTGAATATTATCATTGAACACTACAAATGTATGTTGACATGGCATTTACAGCCTGTATGCATGACACAGCTTTGCAGGCAAACGTCAAAATGCGCTTTTGGTTTGCCTGCAAAGCTTTGTCATTCATGCAATATCAACACAATGCTGAAGTAATTAACTGAAGCGTCCATCATGACATTTCCTAAGTGGTTATACATATATACATATATATATACATTGTAACAATACATTTGTGATAAATGCATTTTTATTAAGGATCTCCATGCCGCTTGCAAAAACTGAAACTATGCATTTAAAAGTTAGTTTTCCGGCACGACGCTGGCTTTGCTAGAAAAAAAAACTGAAAAAGGAAAAACTTGCGGGATTTGTATGAATTTTTTTTTTTTTAGACGAAAAAAAAAAAAAAAAAAAAAAAAAAAAAAAAGTTTTTGGAAAAAAAAAAAAAAAAAAAAAAAAAAAATCAACAATAGTGTTCTGAGAAAGAAAAAAATAGCGTGGTCAGACAAGAATTCTTACATTTGTTCTTTTTATTGTTAACCTGTCGCTCTAAACGACATTAAAGAGTGGTAACTGTATAACATTGCAGTGGAACAAGGATCCTTAAATCATTTTGTATCAGAGTTATCTCCCTTACCATTTGAAATATTACAGATTACAAAGACAATTTATACAGAGAGAATGATGAGCTGGTGATTGTCTACTGTGCAGAGTACAAATCATTCAATAAACACCAATGTGAGTATTAGATAAGCGATCACGAATGTGAATATCACAATAACGAATACTACGTACAGGATAATGAATATGAATACTGCAAGTTCGATAACTGATGCTTGCATGATGACTGCGAGTCTTGAGTACATTTACACTCATGTGATAATTACATGATACTATTGTAGTTTAGATTCATTAATTTCATTTGTATTACTTTATAAATATTGTAAGAATTGCATTCATGGTAACTAAATTTCCAGTATTGCATATTGTATATACATGATGAAATATCATCGTGATAATTACAAGGAAAATCGTGTAAGGATTACAAATATGATAAATACTGTATAAGCATAGTTCTTCTTATGAAAAAATATTGTATTTTTGGGACATGATAACTACTATTAATAGCACGTGTATTAAACTTTTTATTAATGATATACAAAATTACTGTTATGAATATTACAAAAATATTCCATATTTTCGATGATTACTTACATGATAGAAAATGGGAGTATTACATGTACTTATACCGCGGTAATGAAGATAAGGATCAACTACATGGTAGATAAATGGTGTAAAACATTCTTTATTGACTTTGAAAGTATACCAAATTGACCATTTTCCTGTGACAAAAAGATGATGCGTTCCATTAATAATAGAGTTATGTCCCTTTGCCTGGTGCAGGAACCTTGTAGTCTCCCAGACTAAGTGGGTATGATGACCGTCTCGTGCGTGGTTTTACTGGGTAATATTTTGTTACAGCTCTCACAATGATATCGATCGATCCTACCCTGGTCACCAATCTCTTATTGGAAGAAGAAAAAGAAATAAATAAGGTAGCCGAAAAATTCGAGGCCCTTGTAAAAGACCATAAGGTAAGGTTACAAGTAGTGGACTGTCTAGGGTTTCGTCAGTAAAGTGTTCGTCAATGATCACTAGGTATTAATTACGCGACTGTAGTGCGAATCGGGGATATACAGCTGAAAGCCTGAATTTTTGCTGTTTATGTATGAAATGGGTACATAGATTGATAGGAAATAGTCAAATAGAATTAAAATCAGTAAATTCATTAAAAAGTACATCAGATATTTCTGAATTTCAAATTTCGCAAATACGTTAAGGGTGCACAATCTCCAATTTTCCAACCCACTTGAATTAGAATTCGAGCAGTGTATTTACTTTCAATAGAGCGATGGAGCTTCAATATCCAAGATATGACGTCATTAATCATGCATTATAATCATAATTATGCAACTGAAACGTAGCAACTCTTTTCTGGCGTCGCACTATGTGATGTGATTTTACACTATTAAATTAGGAACTAAAAGTACTAAAACATTTAGCAGTTATGAGAACAACAAATTCGCATTTTCAAAAAAGTAACTTTTTGTATATTCATGGCCTTTGTTAAATGAAAATACCATAAACAGTATACTTGTAGCGGAACTGGACTGGATCGATCGTCGGCGACCAGGTAGCTCAATTGGTAAAGCGTCCGTCTAGGGTTCAAACCCCGGTCTGGCCGTGTATTTTTCCTCTCCTATTGTAGTGGTGCCTGTGACCAACCCTTGTTTCAAGCATTTGGTGTACGATGGCAAGGGGATACCCGAACCGGTTGTAAATAGCTGTGTCTTCGTGGACGAAGACTTAGAAAAAAGGAGGGGGAATGTATTGGAACTGGACTCGGTCGATTGTCAACGACCAGGTAGCTCAATTGGTAGAGCGTTCGTCTAGAGTTCGAAGGGTACCGTGTTCGAACCCCAGTCTGGCCGTGCATTTTTTATCTCCTATTCCATACGTATATGCTGATAGATTTTGTTCAGGAAATAGGCTGTACCTCGGTGATTCCTCTTCATTTTTGAAGAGACATTCCTACAAAGTTGTAATTACGCTGCTTGAATAACAAGACTCTATCTTTTGATTTTAGATGAAGGGGAGGCTGATCCGTGTTGGAGGGGAACCGGGCCCAGGGATCTGTAAAGTTGCAGTTGAGCAGAACGCCGACTTCATTATAACCGGAAGTAGGGGTCTCGGTACGGTTCGGCGCACTCTCCTTGGAAGTGTTAGCGACTACATAGTGCATCACGCGCACGTACCAGTGTTGATTTGCCGACGCAAAACATAATGAGATGTCTGAATGGTATCGCTATTTAGTTACAGTAGGATTAAAATAACGATTAATGAAAATTATAACTAACAAGTGTAATTCATTTAATTGATGTATATATTTGTATGACATACGTTTTGTAGAATATTTACTTATTACATATTTAGTTTCTTATGAGCTTGCCAATAAAACATTTACGCTCAACTTCATATCGTTTGTTTGGTGTGTATCAATATACATGTACCTATTTATATTGGTCATCAGATTGATGTATTGTATACTTAGGATGTATATCTATCAACTGATGAGTATAGTACTTCTTTTGATGCTATTGAGCACGTACCCATCTGAAGCGAAATGGCCGAACTAAACTTTTGGTGTAACCGGAAGCATCGAGGGCCGATGTGGACAGAACGCATAGCTGTAGATTAAGTACGGTTTAACTTGTAATATCATCTTTAAAGTTTGTAGGAATGCAAGAGAACTCAGTCCCTCAGGAAAAAGCAGATCTCTTTTTTCATTCTGAAAAGAGACACTTGAGTAAAATCTTGATAGCTTTCTTAAACACAGACAAAATCACTATCAGATTGATGCTTTATAATGTTGCGGCATTGGACTTTGTCAATCACCATGAAGCAGGAAGCTCCTTTGGTTAAGATTGTCATGTATAAGAGTTTGGAGGTCATAGGTTTGAATCTTGGTCTGGTGGCAATACCCATATAAGGATTTTGTGTTCATGTCCTCGGAGTCAAAGACTATGGGAGGAATGTATGTGAGCGGAACTGGAGTAGGTGGATTGCTGGCAACCAGTAATTAGCTCAATTAATCAGAGTGCAATCTAGAGTTCAGAAATCCAGGTTGAAATCCCAGACCGACCTTATTGAATCTGCTGAAATAGGTTTAATGTACTGACTATAATGGTTTTTATAATCATGATGTGGTCAAACATGTCTGAATTCGGTTAATAATTATAATAATAATAGTGATATAAAAAAATAACCCTCTATAATAATTATATGCTTGATATTCGAAGCATATTATTGGGTATATTCTTTTATTTTAACATTATTAATTAACAGAACTTCCGATTAACAGCTGCTGTGCATTATATAAGGGACCCGAGAATTTGCAATAGCTATATTTGGACCTAAACTAAGGTGTTCAGAGTAATTATACATGTTTAAGGGTTTTAGATTGACGAATTCGGAAACTCTGAACACCTTAGTTTATGACCAGATATAGCAGGTAGCTGTAACAAATTCTCAGGTCCCTGTGCTGTGGTATGAGATTTAAGATGTGGAATTGACATAAAAAAATGTATGGGCCTATATGATTATGGTTTCACAATCTTTCTAGGGGTTTTGTCAAACAGAGAAAAAAATGAGTATGCTAATTACTAATATCCCATAAGGCCTGTAATAAAAAAAAATCTTGTAAACTAATTTACCCCCCCCCCCCGGGATAGTAATATCCTGCAACTTCAGCCGCACGGTTCGTAACATCATTCGTTTTAAATATACATGTTATACTGATACGGGTCACAACACACTTATAACCACAGGTACCTATCGCGAATGAGAGGAAAATAGTCCCACATGACGACATGTGCATTCGTATTGTTTTTTCTCTCATTCCGAACCGACGAGCTCGTATAAATAAAGTATGTTCGAGAGATTCTTGTACATTAAGCCTGAAAACTCGACGAAACTGCATCTAACAGGCATTTTGCGACAAAATCGAAAGAGTATAAAGAGACAGTAAGAGTTGTCTTAAAAAGCTGATCACGAGTCGATAAGTTTTTGAAGCTGCCTCAGTTACCACCGCCATTTTTTTTCACATCAATGTACAAGCGCCTCGCCGATGGAACGGAACGGAACGAGTGTAGAACGGAACGAAACGAAAGCTCCACTCGGACTGGGACGGAGCGAAACGGAACGATTAGGGTAGAGAGGATTTAACATGGAACGAAACGAAAAAAACAGTCTGCGACGGAAACGGAACGAATCGAATCTTGAGAACGAAATGAAATGAAAACGCGAATGAAATGGAATGAAAACGGAATGAAAACGCAAAATCTGTCAACTGAAACGCTGACACCCCTGTACGATGGTGACTAGTTAGTAAATATGTAGATTCAATATATATGTACGTGCATATCATCATGATTGACTTGATGAAATTTACTTATAAAATAAACGTGTCATAGTAACATACTTGTATGAGTCATGTGTGAGTAATTTTAGGCTTCATGAAGATGACATGAGTTTCGATACTTCGATCGTTTGTTTACTTCCGGTAATCGTTACTTCCGGTAAACGAGTACTTAAGTTTTTAATCGGCCCAATCGGCAATGTACAATTCCATGTAGTCACTACACATGTTAGGTGTATTGATATAACGGGAAAACCTCACAATAGGGAAATTTATTATATGCTGATAACAAATTCTTTAAAATCCATTGCACAAAATCTGTCTTCTTTATTTAATCAAAAAGACGTAGAATTTGACAGCGTTTACATGACTGATAATTTAGATATTCATTCGAAAATAACTGGAGATGCATAAAAAAAAAAAATGACCTGTTAATTTGCGATCGAACGATTGTTCAGGTTTTATCACGCACTTTACTCGTGAACGTCCTTACCATCATTAACATGCATGTCTCGTATTAAACTAGACTAAACGAGTATCTATGTTAGAGATAAATCATAAAATTTTCCTAATTTTCTAATTGTAAATAAAGGAAGGACAGCTATTACCATCTTTAATTAATGCATCTTCGATGAAATGGGAAATATCTACCTCATACTTTTTTAATATAACATCGCATGTAACTGTATGATTTAGACATCATATATTAGAATTTAATTAAAAGGGATAAAATTAAGCAAATCCATTCATCCATTCAACCTCTAGCTCACTCATGTTTAATATTTATCTATACAAATAGTCGTCTTTACACACGCTCATAGGCATGCAAAGCCCCACTTACACACGTAGAATCACACATAAACTTATAGCCCCACCCCTACGTAGCCTCAAATACACACATTTATGTAGCCTGCAACACACACGTACATGTAGCTGCCCACGCACACTTAGTCTGCTAAGCACAAGTACATTTGTAGCCTGCTGCACACACTACATCGTACAGAAACTGTAGCTTGCTGCACACACTTACATCGTACATAAACTGTAGCTTGCTGCACACACTTACCCTCCCACACATTTTATTCTCTTCTCCCCACATGTCACCCCCTGTCTCACTCACGTACATTCGTCTTCCACACAAGCTCATGTCATATTTCTTTATAAACTATGCTTGACTTACATTATATAGTATACGTTTAGGTCTATATTTACATATCCGCTGCAACTTCTTTTTATAAAACATTCAAGAAGATATTGCATTCATAGGGTTATGAACCGAACTGGTACTTTGTCATTTTGACGCTTTTTTTAAAGCCTAAAATAACACCAGACCATTATTAAAAGAAGCAAACATTCAAATTATGTTAGGAATTTCCAGGAATATGTCGTTTGCATTGACGTCACAGAAACTTTAATACCTAAACAACAGGATATATTGTTATTCATACAATTTCACTGTTAAATATAAATTTACAATTTTGATATACACATCGAACGGGTGGTCGATAGGCTTTGTCAGAAAGGATTCTTTATTTCAACTGTTCAGCTGTGTTTCGGTGCCGTTTATTACAGAATCACATTTCGTTGTCAAACACGTCGGCTTGACGTTTTATTGCATATTGAGACATCAGTCTGATATCAAAACCACGTCCTCCAGAGGTTACGTAGGTATGTAAACTTGATTGTATTTTGATGTTACAGCAAAACGTCCGATTGGACTGATAGAAACACGCTTCTGTTAATCAAAGACAGACATCAGGTGAACAGAACACACAGACGAATTCATAATGAAGTCGCAAATTCATGAAAAAGTCATGACAAAGTGGCAATCAACAATAGATAAAACAGACAAGCAACCATAAGTCACAAAGACATACAATTATAGGTCACAAAGACAAGCAACCATAGGTGACAAAGACATACAACAATAGGTCACAAAAACAAGCAACCATAGGTCACAAAGACATACAACAATAGGTCGCAAAAACATACAACAATAGGTCACAAAAACAAGCAACAATAGGTCACAAAGACATACAACAATAGGTCACAAAAACAAGCAACAATAGGTCACAAAGACATACAACTCTAAGTAACAAAGACAAGCAACAATAGGTCACAAAGACACGCAACCATAGGTCATCAAGGCATACAACAGGAGGTCACATAAAACAGTTAAAAAGGTCACAAAGACATACAACAATATGTCACAAAGACATGCATCAATATATCCCAAAGACATACAACAATAGGTCACAAAGACAGGCAACAATAGGTCACAAAGACATACAACAATAGGTCACAAAGACACGCAACAATAGGTCATCAAGGCATACAACAGGAGGTCACATAAAACAGTTAAAAAGGTCACAAAGACATACAACAATATGTCACAAAGACATGCATCAATATATCCCAAAGACATACAACAATAGGTCACAAAGACATACAACAATAAGTCACAAAGACCTACAACAATAGGTCACAAAGACATACAACAATAGGTCACAAACACAAGCAACAATAGGTCATCAATGCATACAACTAGAGGTCACACAAACAGTTAAAAAGGTCACAAAGACATAGAATAGGTCACAGGACATGCAACATTAGGTCACAAAAACAAGCAACTATTGGTCACAAAGACATGCAACAATAGGTCCGAAGACCTGCAACAATAGGTCACAAATACATGCAACAATTTGTCACAAAGACAAGCAACAATAGGTCACAAAGACATACAACAATAGGTCACAAAGACAAGCAACAATAGGTCACAAAGACATACAACAATAGGTCACAAAGAAATACAACAATAGATCACAAAGACAAGCAACAATAGGTCACAAAGACATACAACAATAGGTAATAAACACAAGCAACAATAGGTCACAAAGAACATGCAACAATAGGTCACAAAGACAAGCAACAATAGGTCACAAAGACATACAACAATAGGTAATAAACACAAGCAACAATAGGTCAAACACAAGGAACCATAGGGCATCAAGGCATACAACAAGAGTTCACAAAACAGTTAAAAAGGTCACAAAAACAAGCAACAATAGGTCACAAGAACATGCAACAAAATGTCCCAAAGACAGGCAACAATAGGCTACAAAGACAAGCAGCCATACGTCATTAAGGAATACAACAAGAGGTAACACAATAGTTGAAAAGGTCACAAAAACATACAACTATATGTCACAGTGACATGCAACAATATGTCATCATGACATACAACATGAGGTCACACAAGCAGTTAAAAAGGTCACAAAGACATACAACTATATGTCACAACGACAAGCTACAATAGGTCACAAACACATGCAACAATATGTCACAAAAACAAGCAACAATAGTTCACAAAGCCATGCAACAAAAGGTCACAGGACATGCA